ATATTAAGACCGCACATCGTGCACCAAGATGTCAACCTTTCCAAGAAGTTGTTGGTGGCAGAGACCGGCAGGCGACCACGAACCTGAATCATAAGGGTGAAGTCGTCCGCGTAAGCTATTAATCGGCTATCTTTGATGGAGGGAAGGGTGAAGATGGTCCGAGCAACTATGTTCCACAGGAAAGGACTTAGCGCTGAACCCTGGGGAGTGCCGAGCTGGGAGGATGTACACTCTGTTGCTGTCCAAGCTGAATAAGAGACCCTCCGGTCTTCCAAAAAGCTTTTTACTAAGCCGGTGATATACTCTGGGCAATTTAGGCGTTCAAGATTTTGAATGATTGCCGGCCTCCAAACAGTGTCGAAGGCCTTACTGATATCCAAGCTGATGACAAGAGTTTTCCTCCAGTGAGCTTGTCTTTCTTCAATGAATTGGGTGATACTTGCCAGTGCATCTTCCGCAGAACGACCATTTACAAATCCGTATTGATCTTCAAAGAACCATCCGTGACGATCCGCGAGCCACTGAAGTCTGGCCAGGATACATCTCTCGAAGAATTTGGCCATAGTGTTCAATAAAGTAATAGGTCTGTATTTCTCCAGCTGACTGGTGGCTGAATTGGAGGGTTTAGGCAGAAGTATGAGGCGGCCTTCTTTCCATGGACGGGGGAAGTGGCCCATACGAAGGCATTTGGTGAACAATTCGGCCAGCAGGAATTGCAAGGAAGGGCCGCCCAGGTCTAGGCACTTCGAACCAAGACCGTCGGGGCCCGGGGCTTTCCTTTTTCCACAGCGATGAATGGCTCGCAAAACTTCCCAGGGTTTGAATTCAGGTTCGTCTGAGTGCGCAGAAATTGCATTCCTTTGCGGGTGAGGTCTGGTGTCAGGTAGGAAAAAGTGATTTAACACGGCCTGGCAAGTCTCATGAGGATTGTAAGGAGAGCCGTCATCATGTTTGAGAAGTGGCGGACCTCTGGGGGAGCCGCGACCCCGGGCGATAAATCGATGTATGGCACTCCAGGATGCGGATGACACCTCCTCGCAGAGATTAAACCAGGATTTACTTTTAGCTTTCCGTATAGCCGCCTTCAGTCGATTATGGCACGCTCGGTATAAACCGCGGAAGAAGTTCCTAATAGGACTCCGGACACTCTGACTGCAACGGCGGAGGGAGATAACAAACCTTCTGATCCGACTCAGTTCGGGGGTCCACCACGGCTTTGACGGTCTTGTAGTATTGGAGCGTCTCCTCATGGAAGAGTCACAAGCTGATTGCAGGATGGTAGTCAGAAGGAGGACCACCCTATCAATATCTTCTGGGGTAGAGGCCTCGTTCAATTGGGCAGTTACCTGGTGGAGAGAAGAGTTTAGGAAGGATTTAAAGGTCTGTTCTTTACATGAGGATTCAACCCAGGAGGAGTTCGTCTCGTTATTGACCATGTCTAGGAATGTAGTCCAGATAGGTATATGGTCAGTGAAGGCCATCTCACCTAATAAATCCCTAGTGGCATGGATAGCCATAGAGCTGGAGGCCAGAGTGACATCTATAGAAGAAGACAAGGACCCATTTGACCAGGTAGAGATCACAGGGGGTCCCAAGAAATGAAGATCATTGAAGCTGGCGAATTCTTCCAGATTAGCACCCCGGAAGTCCAACCTCTCACCTATACCCCAGGTAGGAGAGTGGGCGTTAGTGTCCATACCCAGGATTACTGGAAGAGAGGCCCGTCTTATTGTATCTTCCAGAAGAGGGATGAAATCCTCGGCAGCTCTAAGGCCGTGCCAGTAGGCCGAGTACACCGCGATGATACTCTGCTCTAGACATATGGCTATGGAGGTTATGGCGGTGTCTGGGGAGGTTAGAGGGATGGGATGAAGGTTGCTACGTGCCACTATTCCCGAGGGGATGTAGGCGCCAGGGACAAAAAATGCTTGAAACCCAGGTGTGGGCCAGAAGAAGTTAGTTGGGAGTTCTTGCAGGAGCACGATGTCGGCCTGTGTCGAATTTGCCAAATTTGCAATTTCAAGAATGGCAGTTGGTGATTTTCTAGCGTTCACCTGCAGGACACGCAATGGCCTAGACATTGTTTCTTGTTCGGGCTATTCTCTCTTTTACAAAGGGACAGGTAGATAATGTGGCAAAGTGGTTGATGGGAGCTCCAGATTTTTTGCTGCAGCGGCAGCAGCGGCTTTGGCTTGGCTCGACCGAGCATTGGAAGCCCTCATGCTCTGCAGAGCCGCAGCGATAACAGATTGGGTGGGCAGCTGGACAGGCAGACGCGCGGTGGCCGAAGCCACAGCAACGGAAGCATTGTTTTAAAGTATGACTGCGCCCATACCTGTGCATTAGACCTGCCACAGGGATACGTCCATGTTGACCGAGGATTTCGGCGACTTGGTTGTCCACTTCGATGAACACTGTACTGGTGTTGTGTGCCGCATTCTTCGATCGATGGACTACCTTGATGTCACGTTTTCCCTGGAGTGACTGCACGGTGTGGCTGGAGCGGAGGCTCTCGCAAATCTCCTCGTCCCGCACCTCCCCGTCCACTCTGAAGAGGCAGTATCTCGGTAGGATAACCGGGCGCTCGTGGCAGCTTAGACCCGTTGGCAGGGAAGTCAGCCCCGAGGCCAGCGACTTTGCCATTTGGGTCGTTTTGGTGTGGAAAACAACCTTGCCGCTGGTGTTTATGGACGCCACCACGTCTTTTGATGACCCTAGTGAAGGATGAATCTTTTGAATTTCCCTTAATATTTCCCTAGGGTTGGATTTGGGGTCAGCCGACTTGACGACGACATGCGATTCAAAGGAAGGAGCCAGATTCACAAATGTGGCTTTCACTTTGGGCTTCGGAAGTGCAGGCCTTACCGGCTTCTCTTTCTCAGCCACTACCGAGGCGAATGAGGTGGAGGGGATCGGGATGTTGGCTGCGGGATTGGGTCTTCCTAGACTGGCTCCCTTGAAGGCGTCCTCAAGAAGAAGTTCTGCTTCTTGGACGAGAGTCAGCATCAGTCCTCTGGTGGCCATCTGCATTTTTTCGGGGGTGTCCAAGCTGGTGTCCGCAATGATCGCCTCGAAGGTCCGGCACCCAAAGTTGAACAAGCTTGCTGTGCTGTTGAACTTGAATTGATTGTGGGAAGACGGGAGGAGGTCTTCGTCCTCAGGACGCGGCCGCTTTTTGTTGGTCTGCTGACCTCCTCCACCACCACCTCCATCATACTGGTTCGGCTCCATAAAAAAATAAACTATCAATAGCAAGTTTACTTCAAAAAGACTAACCAGACAAGGAACACTATTGTCACGACAAGAGATTGTCCTAAGACTACAATCTAATGATTGTTAAGATGGTATTTATGACTTAACTATGCTATGGCAAGGCATATGTATATTATAAAATTTACATAATATCAGCTGTGTTTCAACGTATTTTAGAATTGATATATTTACATACTAGAGCAAATTTGGCATTTAACATAGGTAAATTAGGAACAAATAGTGTCTATGAACTAGGGTATAATATTATGGTAAATTTTCGGAATATGTCTGTTTAAACTGTTGAATGTAGGCCAAAAGCTTCGAGGAATAATCTTAATTTGTTAAACAGAGTGTCCTCTAGTTTTAATACTGTTTTCTTGTGGCCTTACGTGGTGCGTTAAAAAGATTATGATGGTTATTATCATTGTGGCGACCACACTTTGCCTCAGCGAGCGTGGACAAAGCTTCACTACACATACGGGAAGTAGTGTGACGGCCTCACTACGCCACGGCAACCGCGAGCTGGGAGAACACCTCACTACGCATGCGCGGGCGGCATCAAGACTCTTGCCACGCGCGTCGTTCGAACAATAAGGCTTTCTTCCAGCGGCCGTTACTTCTTTCCTCTCTATATATTTCGGGGCTTTAAATAAATTAATTAATTTTTATAAAATAAATATAATCTTATCAGCGGCCTTTCCAAAAGCCACACCAACACGCACGCAACCATCCCGCATCATTAACTAACACTATTTGTAATTTAATAAAGTAAAATACTCTGCAATATATATATATATGATGTATTCGCGTGTCATCTGTTATGAGAATTCGAAACTATTATAGACGCGTATGAGTCTTTTAAAAATTAAACAATTTCTACTGCCCTTACTGCAATGGAAAAATTAATGGAAGGGTTTTCACCACTGATAAGAATTATCAGAATTAGAATAACTTTCTTCCTAAACAAATAGCTCCTATTTCTATTCTTTTAACAAATCTATCATATTCAGAGGAGACATAGGTACAACCAAGTAGAAAAACACATTATAAAATAAATGAAGCTTCCAGGTTTAAGTTTCTTTTGCAATTTTTTAATTTCAAGCTTTCGGACTTGTCAGTCCTTCAACAGGATCATCACGTTAACAACTTAATAATAAATACAAATTTAATATACACACATTATAATATATATATGTTAAATACTTATTATATATTGAGAGAAAAATATATTACATTATTTCTGTGTGGAAAAACAAAATATTTTAAAAATATACGTGCGTGGTGGAGGATACGTGCTGGTTGAATGATATCTCGAGACTTCAAATTAAATTTAATAAATTCGTGAACTATTGTGTTATATATAGAAGACATCTATGGGATAGTATTTGTTTATATTGTTTCGTATGTTTCTGATATTTCAATGCATCTGTTTATGCTTTTTTGCTGTTTGGTTATCATAGATTCTATTAAATTAAAACACATTGAATTATCAACGAAACAAACATCATAGACAAATCAACGGTGTTTTATCCATTTAGAATGACACATCCTGAATATAGAGTCTATAAGTCTAACACTTCCTAGACAGTTGTGTTATATTGTATAGAGACATCACTTGAGATCTCTGATTGTTGACAGCTGCTACAATGAAGTCTATGTGTATGTCTACATATGTCGTTCTGCAATCATAAGCCGCATTATATTGTATTATAAATTACTTTATATAATATTTACGAACGGAGAAATATGTCCAGGGTAGCCTAGTGGACATGGCATCTGCCCGGTAAGCGGAACATTGTGGGTTCGATTCCCATACCCGGACACTTTTATTTTTCCGTTTATAATTACTTTTCACAATTCATCCTTTCATACCTCATCCCTAAGGTTAGAAATAATCGTTATTTCTCCTTAAAATAAATTTCGATTTTTCGTTCAAAAGAAACACATGCGGGATAATTTTGAAATGGCGTTCTACAATCATAAGCCGCATTATATTGTATTGCAAGTCATTATTGTCCTCGACAATCCCCGACCTGACGACTAAAGACTTATTCAATTCCACTTGACTCTGAGGACTTATCTAGGATGTATCCTCACATCTCCTGATACTGAGGACCTGTAGGATTCCACACCACTGGACAACCACGGTCTAACTGCCCCTCCATAACGTGAGTCATGTGGAACATTTCACTCACCAGACACACAGTTTTACATTCGAACATTCAATGTAAACACTTAGTGAACACGACACTAGATAGATGTACTAGCCAAACGTCAACTTGACCTGACTTAATCCAACTTGGAAGAAATTTAACAAGTTTCTAATTGTTCGAGTTATCACACCTCATAACATTTATATATTTTAAAATAGGATTCTCAACACTAAATAACATTCTGTGTTTACTTTTTCTATGTAGAGATACTCTATCAGAGTTTTATTATATTTAATTAAAAATGCATATATTGAATAAAAATATCATTTATTTCATAGTATTTCAGTTGGCAGAACGCCAACCTTTTTCAAGGCATTATATCATATTAATGGGTGAAAAAAATAGTACAAATGTGATATTGTACTGGGATAAGGTGCATATATTATTTTAAAAAGGCATCTCCTTATCGTGCATATCGATAGATGGCGCAAGCCATCAGCAACTTTCAGTTGCACGATAAGGAGATGCTTTTTTATAATTTATGCATCTTATCCCAGTACAATATCACATTTGTACTATTTTTTCACCCATTAATATGTCATAATACCTTGAAAAAGGTTGACGTTCAGCCAACTGAAATATTGGTAAAATAAATTATATTTTTATTCCATATATGCATTTTCAATTAAAGATTTATTTATGGATTGCTCTATTTTCAAAAGGTTATACTATATATATTCTTGTGTTTTTCTCTCTCTCTTTTTCAAATATATTTCTATATTGTAGCAAAGTATTAATTACATTTTATATACTAATCATATTGATTTTTTATATTAATATTTTTTATATTTTTCTACTCTCTGGAACCTTCCCTTATTGCATATCTTGTATCTTATAAATGTTGATTTTGTACTTGCATTAAATAAATTTCCGTGTTATCATGAGGTTTTCTTTCCTAATTTTCTACGATACAATATATATGTACTTTACTCTCTTAAAAAGAGGAATTTCCTTTAGTATTCAAATATATCTTTAATAAACCGGATAACTATAGCATATAGTAAAGATAGAGGTTTCCTGGCCGGAATTCATAGTTCTTCAAATTAAAGATACTTAGGCCAGTAAATCTTTTTATTATCTCGAGATAATAAACACGTCGAGATAATAAAAAACATTTACAGGTCTAAATATCTTTAATTTGAAGAACTATAGCATAATTATATAAATTTTAAATACTATATTTATTAAGAAATTATTTCATCTTTTGAGCATAACAATGAAGCCAATAACTTTTATTTAGAAAATATTTCCCATAATTATATTTCTATATATATTTTTTTCTATAATTCATATAATATATATCTAAATTACAAATAAACTAATATTTTAAATCTTTATTTAGTAAATGGAACAATACCGATTTTTTAATAAAATTCTAATCCATGTCATATTTTAATTTAAAGAAAAATATTCATTGATATATCGTAATATTTTTATTGATATTTGACCACGGAAAAGTTCCGTTTGGAAATAATAATAAATAAAACAAAAGCAATCAATTATCTGTTTCTGTTGGGTATGATAAAAATAAGATTATTTAAACAAATAATTGAGCAAAATATAATTAACGAAGCATTCAAAATATATAATAAGAACGATAATAAAAAATATTCCTTTGAAAATTAGAAATAAAAATAAGGAGCTTTTATTAAAATTTTGATATAATTCAATATTTAATGATAACGAGAAAATACTGGCGAAAATTTTTGGGGAAGAAGAAAGAAGTAATAAAAATATATTAAGACAATATTGGAAATTTTATTGTGAATTTATATTATATTATGTTGAAGAATACAGGTAAGAATTCTTTTTATCACCTTCTGAAAATCATAGCGAAGACATTTCAATTAAACCAGATTAATCTTGTATCAATCTCAGATGTTGGTGTCTATTGATGAGGGCCACAATGTCAGCTGGACTGACCAATCTTCTTGATCACCAAATCTTGATACACCATCAGCCAACCAGAAGTTGGATAAATATCACGTGATGTGAACGGGCCCAACTGATTGGTTGGATTGATAGAAATCAACATGACGCCAATTGAGCTTCTTTTAGCCCAATCTGAATTCTCTCTTAGTACTTTATTACACATATTTCTTCACTAAATGTATATAACTTTGACCATCCCATATGCTGAGATAGCAACAATGATAGTAGAAGCTCTGTTATATTTAAGGAAGGAAAAGCTCCATATCTCAGCCAAGTGGATTTAAATTGAAACTAAGTACCATTCTGATGACACAACAACAAAAAATAATCAAAAGTTTTTACAGCAACTTTGAAAAGTATGATTAGCAATCTAAGCTAGATATGAGCATAACGTTTAAAAAATCATTAGCTAAGAATTAATAGTTTATGAATATTGAACACTCGGGGGGCTATATTGTATTATGAAAAAATCAAAGAAAGGACTAGATGATAACCATATATTCACAACCTATTCAGTTACCTTTTAAAGAAATATATTGTTATGTTTAAGTTATAAATATTTTAAACCATTTTAAGTTTTTTTTTAAACACATATACTAGGCATATAACGTGAAGAAATACGAATTGAATCTAGAGGTTGTGTAGAATTTCTTAAGATTCTTTGAGAAATTTGGTGTCTTGAGTTGCTAATTAGAGCTGTTACATTAATTGGTTGATGGTAAAAATATTGTGATGAGTTCTTTGTTATAGTTAGAAGCTCTTCTTATGAACTTTGCTCTTTTCTAATTGAAATTACCAAGAATCAGATAGAATTAAAAAATCTTGCTAACCGCGTGAATGTTAAGAATAAAAAAGGGACTCGGTGACAATAGCATTCTGTTAACCATAAAGTCTGAATTCTAGGCTGCTGTGTGTAACAGATGTTCCAGATGGAGAGCCGTGACTTCCCTGTGTTCCAGTTCTACTAACAGCGTTGTTTCAGGATCTAGATACTTTTAGACAGTAGCTATTGACAACGGGGCGGGTTTTAGCGCTTACACTCCTGTGATGATCATAGCAGGGGCTGTGGTCATTTACCATTCCACGTTGGGCGGGAGGACCCACTACTTTAACCCTGTGTCACATAACGTGGATTGGTACTCAACTTCTCCTCCGGCAGCTTGGCCCGCTCCACAGACCCAGGACTAGGTACTGATTACTAGTCTGCTGGTTCTGGCGCAAAACTCCAATGGGAGGCCTCGCGTGTGACGTTAAGTCCGGCTTTCAGCGTTGGCAGTGTCAGCAGTTCTGTCTTCGGTCTCTAGTCCGCTCCATTCCACTTTGTTGTTCAATAGTGAACTCAACGAGTTCATCGAGTTGTCGGAATTGGGAAGTTGGGTTCAGGGGTGTAAGCAATACATGATGGTGTGTATAGTCTACCTCTAACCCCCTCTGTGTTATGTATCTAGATATCACGTGGAGCCGTGTCTAGTCAACATTTAGGTAAATGTCTTTCTTTAAGCTCCCTCCTTAGGTCACCGAGTCCCTTCTTTATAACTTGGTCTTCACGCGGTATCAATTATATTTTGAAGTTAAATATATAAATAACCCTACCTATATATATTCGTGTATGTATATTTAGGAATTTTTCCCGCAACTTGTGGGTGTAAATAATTTTTAAAATATTTCTAAATATATTTTGTGGTAAGACTAAAAACTAATACGTAATAACAGAGGAAAGTTATCTTTCAGCTCTATAATTTCTATGGTGTTTAAAGTGTAGTTCTGGTAGAAGGTATATCTGGTTCTCTGTGGTGAAAACAAAAATGTATGTAATATAATTTTTAAATCTATATTACAATATACAGCAGAACCTCCCTTTAGCGGACATTCCGATAGCGGACACCTCTCCACAAAGGACAGTTTTCATTTGCAAAATTACCATTTTTACAATTTATCAACTCTCTGGTAAGAGGACACCTCTCCCTAAAGGACACTTTAGCTCTGCAATTAGGTGTCCTTTACAGGGAGGTTCTACTGTAGCAACTCTCCGGTAAGAGGACACCTCTCCCTAAAGGACACTTTGGCTCTGCAATTAGGTCTCCTTTACAGGGATGTTCTACTGTAGCAACTCTCCGGTAAGAGGACACCTCTCCCTAAAGGACACTTTAGCTCTGCAATTAGGTGTTGTCCTTTACAGGGAGGCTCTACTGTATCAACTCTCCGGTAAGAGGACACCTCTCTCTAAAGGACACTTTGGCTCTGCAATTAGGTGTCCTTTACAGAGAGGTTCTACTGTATCAAATCTCTGGTAAGAGGACACCTCTCCCTAAAGGACACTTTAGCTCTGCAATTAGGTGTCCTTTACAGAGAGGTTCTACTGTATCAACTCTCTGGTAAGAGGACACCTCTCCCTAAAGAACACTTTGGCTCTGCAATTAGGTGTTGTCCTTTACAGGGAGTTAGTTCTACTGTAGCAACTCTCTGGTAAGAGGACACCTCTCCCTAAAGGAAACTTTGGCTTTGCAATTAGGTGTCCTTTACAGGGAGGTTCTACTATAGTAACTCTCCGGAAAGAGGACACTTCTCCCTAAAGGACACTTTGGCTTTGCAATTAGGTGTTGTCCTTTACAGGGAGGTTCTACTGTATCAAATCTCTGGTAAGAGGACACTTCTCCCTAAAGGACACTTTGGCTTTG